AACTTAGTCAGTTACAAAGTACAGAAGTAACGTTACTAATAATACAATTAGTAGCAATCTCTCTCTCTCTCTCTCTCTCTCTCTCTCTCATAAAGAATAATTGCAAAATTTGTAATTTAGCATTTAATTTTTCTTTCTGTCGAGCAGAGTGATTCAATGGCACCGATTAAACGAGTTCCAAGTCAATCGCCTCTGCGATTACGTGTTTCCCGGAATTAGCTTCGTCAGAAATAAATTTTCCGCGAGGTGCGTCTCACGTCAGCGTTCGACATACGACGTTTCATTACGAGGGAGTAATTAGAGAATTGTGCCGAACGGCGCAGCGGCCGCGCGCGGAACGCGCGCTCACCGCGACTTAATTAATTTCGCGGAAGAAATGAGGAGCAATTTGCGATTATATGCTGCACATCGCGCCGTACGTGATGTTTAATCACGTACAGATAATTAAACAATTATTCGTAACCTTAGATGGTAATCGGCGCAACTTAATTACGCATGAGAAGGCGGTATATCGCGCCGCGTATGCAATACGGCTCGACTAGAGATCCATGCCATGCGAATACAAGATTTAATCGAGAGGAAATAATCACAAAGTTACCTTCCGCAACAGTGAATTTAGGACGGGCATTCAATACGGCGTAATTGCTTTTGTACATGTAATTCTGTGGATCCCGTCCGCAGTGCCGTATTCATATCTCGGGCTACTTTGCAATTTAGATGCATATTATTTGTTAAAGAACCACGCGAACACATAATAGATTGATTAGATCTATGACTACATTTCTCTAAATTTTCTACCTGCATTTCTTCACGATTATACATAGAGTCTAATGAGAGATATCTGATATATTTGTATTTTTAGTATGTAGTGGGAGGCGAGCCTGTGAATATTAGTATATCGCGAAATTCTCATTGTTTAACGAACATTTATACGTAAACTTTTAGTATTTCATCAAAAATCCAGTTTTTCATTCGCGAATTGACTTGAATTTAAAAATTTAAAACGTACTTGCAGACTGTAACTTGCAGACGAGTTATATTTCCCATTTTATTGTTTTCTACGGCGTAAGTAATTTAATTAACGGTTTATCAACGATTTTATTCTTTATGAGATACCAATTATTTCCTTCCGATGCAGCATTTAATTGAAAAAATCGCAACATGCATGCGAATCGCTTAGTTACTCACGAAGAATCGCAACAAAGCTGCCGACGGCAGTCAATCTACGAGCTAACTCATCTTTTACCGTCGGCAACAGAGTAGAAAATTGCGCATTCATATAAGTAACGATGTAAATAACGATATAATCACGTGTGGCTAGAAGTATCATTTTTCTGGCGTCATATTCTACAAATGATTCTACAAACTTTCAAATCACAAGAATAGTCGTAGATGCTAAGAAAAAAAAAAAAATACAATTATAAAGATGCAAAAAATTTGAAGGGATAAATATCGAAGCTGCCGAGAATTAAGCTATATTCATATCGCTGGTAAATTCCAACTCTTTCACTGTTGCTTTTGTTCCTTATACGGTCCAACATGTTACGGCTCTTACGAGTCTCTCGTATCGTCGTTTCTCCAACACGTTGCGGGAAGAGCGATGTATTGGTTGCGATCCCAAAGTAATCGCGCGTCTTGCATGGTTAACTCGCGTTCGCCTCGATGACTCTCGTCGCGCTGCGAATCACTGGCTAATGACAGTAAGCGCGGTAATTGCGTGGTCGAGTCGTGTTCCCCTATGACAAATAGGACCGATAGAGAGACGCGCGCTAGGCTCCCCCTAGGAGGGGAGGAAGGGAGAATCGACAATCTTAATTGCAACTCAATAAGCGTTAATGATAGGCGAGCGCCAATTACTCCGACAACGGATGTTCATGCCCGCACGATAAAAGCGAACACGGGAACGCTCTCTTTTCGTCGTAAGAAAACTCCGATTGCGATAATCGTGCGACGCGAATCTTCCGGATGTAAATCTGATATCGATGTGCTCTCGTAGGGTCTTTTTGGAATAACAAGATACGGCATATCGGACGTTTTAACTAAATTAAATCTCTTAAGACACTTTGAGAGGACAGGAGGAAGGGAGGCAGGGAGTCAAATGCACAAGCAGGCTTCATAGCAAAAACATGCACATGAATTATTAAAATTCTCAAGAAAATTATTGCCGAAGTAATTTTCGCGAATTTGTTACTAACTAAGTCCAGTGAATTTTTTATATTAATAAATTACTAAAAATACATTTGCGCACGTCTCACCGCGCGGATTCTCAGGGTTGTCCTAATTTTCTTTAATTGTACTTATATCGAGAACCTCAGTTCTAATTGTATGCTACGTGTTTGTAACAAATTGGAATTCTTCTTCCTAATTCTTAAGCTGGATGCACAATGAAAAACACATCAACAGGAACAGGGAATAGAGAACAGAAAATAAGAGATTTATTATCATCAATTTACAATAATGATGATATCAACAAGAACTGTTCAATCAGAACTCAGCGATATAAATTCTCTGCACAACCTACAATAATATAAAAGGTTACAGGTAAACGTTAAACAGAGCAAATCACTGTGATTAGTCAGGAACAGGCGATAAGGAACAGAAATCCAACACGTCGAAAATTTTGTTTCCTATTCCCTGTCCCTATTGTCTACGTTTTCCATTTTGCATTGACATACACGGTTTCCCATGGGATGAAATTTGTTGCCTGTGTTATTCCTATTGCCTGTGTTTCT